ATGTTTTTGAGCAGACTGACAGTTTTTGTTAGTTTGGAGCACTGAATATTTCTTCATAGTCATATTTAGGTAGAAGATCTCAAAGCTAAAAATATATGATATCCTCGTTTTTACTCGTATCCTAGTGTTATACTTTCATACTGAGTTATTTAGGTGTGACGGTATATCATCACTACATAAAGGATAATGAATAAGTGTGGTGATTGACTATTTCTATCTCTGTATTGTTTAAATACTTACTGTTGATTGTTAATATATTTCTTATATGAATTGCATTATAATTCCGCTAAATACAAATTCCTGAATTCCGCCCTCTCTGTATTTTGGTTGGATTCGTGTAATTCGGTCATCTCGAAATACTAATACTACGATTACAATTAATTACAACAAATTGGCGTCGCGATGGAACTAAATAACCTTGGAAAATTTCCTATAAATGGTTCTCCGCGGGAGATTGCTGATTACCTTGAATGCTTCGATGCATGGTGCATTTCAAAGAACGTTCGGGATGACAAAATACCAGCACATTTCATCACTGCTATTGGGCTAGATGCATATAGCCTAGTGAAGACTCTGGCGTTTCCAGATAAACCAATTTCTCTGTCATATGTCAAGATTCGTGAACTTCTGATAAATCACTTTCATGTAACTACATTTGAGACCAGAGAGAGGGCTCAATTCAATAAACTGGTTCGTGCTCCCAACCAGAAGATTAGAGACTTTATTCTTCAACTCCAAATACAAGCTTCAAAGTGTAACTTTGGAGATCAGCTGCATACTCAACTACGTGATCGTCTAATTGCTGGAATCAATATTCCTAAGTTAGAGAAAGAGTTAATTCAGATTCCTTCTTGTACCTTTCAAACTGCTAAAGATTTATGTATTACATATGAAGATGTCAATAATGAATACTCTGCTCCCACTACGTCAGTATCTGATGTCATGCTTTCTAAAGTCGAAAATACAAGTGTTCATGGAAAGCAATCCAAACTGTCGTCCACAGGTAATAGAATGCAGCCAGAGATCAAAAACATTAAACCGTGTTTATCCTGTGGAAAGTTACATCTACGAAGCACTTGCCGTTTTCGGGGTGCTAAGTGCCATAAATGTGGTAAAGTTGGACACATCAAGACTGTTTGCAGAAGTTCGAATACTTATGTTGCTCAACATTCTTATAATTCTCCCAATCTGTCTAGTAAAATGGAGTCAATGTGTCTTTCAACTTTTCAAAATACTCAATCTCATCCAATGAAAACCTCCACTACAAGTTCAGCAACTCAAGCGTCAACTGTTTTCAAAAATGTGGTAGCCGAGTTACAATGCGAACTGTCGAAAACACGAGAAAAACTGAATGAGATGAGAGAGCAACTGATTAAAATGGAGGAATTGTTGCATATGCATAGACTGCGTCTGTTGAATGCAGAACATACAAGTACCCATGAAAGTCCTGCAAAACTGTTCAAATCTCGAATTCTCAGAAAGCATCTGATGTCCACGACTTCTAATGTACATTATTACAAAGGGAATGACTATAGACCTTCTGCTGGAATTATACTACAAAAAATGGGAAATCGAGTGGTGAAGATATTAGACATCAAAGATCACTCAGTTCATAACAGACACCTGGACAAAGTGACAATAAATGAAGTAGGTCGTTCCAATTATTATTTTAATGATTCCGCTACTAATCCTGATTTTGTAGATAATTCAGAAATAAGTCCAGATAATACTGATGAAAATAATATCACAGAATCAGTTAGAAGGTCGCAGCTACTTGCAAGCAAACCGAGACATCGTTATAAATACGCAAGGAGATATTCGACGTGTGGCGGATGTGGTGATTGACAATTTCTATCTCTGTATTGTTTAAATACTTACTGTTGCTTGTTAATATATTTCTTATATGAATTGAATTGAATAATAATTCCGCTAAACACAAATTCCTGAATTCCGCCCTCTCTGTATTTTGGTTGGATTCGTGTAATTCGGTCATCTCGAAATACTAATACTACGATTACAAAGAATTACAACAATAAGGCTGAAAGATCTACAACTCTTTTGAAAGCTTATCTACGGAACCGTTAATAAACATTTAAACGATGTCATGATATCGCAGTAGATCTATTCCAGCCTCTCTTTTTTCAAGAAGTTGTTATCTGCTGAAAGATATTCTTCCTAAAGACGAAGAAGATGAAGAATAAGAAGATAAGACATCAAGGGATTATTACATTCCTGATGTGTTTCTTCTCCGTTTATAGATATATTTTTTTCAAGAGTTGAGTGGTAAGGATTAGATTTGTTTATACGAATGTGACCACGGATTGATTGAAAACCAGTAGGGAATACTGGACAGTCTTCCCATCCAGTACGCGCCCACTACCATGGTTCGAAACCAGGACCTTCAGGTTATAAGGCAAGCTGGCTCGTATGCCATTTAGCCACTGGAACCTGATTCATTGGCCAGCCCATGAATTCTAACTTCTACCAATTCGTGGATTAGGGCGACTGGCAGCAACCAATGTTATTGGCGGGAAATCCATCCTCACGCTTGACTGGATGGATATGTCTAAATCAATATATGCATATATATATATATATATATATATATATATATATATATATATATTCATTAATAATAATCGCTTTATTCCAAACGATAATAATCATACAGAGCAGAATCTTCAGCGGTTTTACACATATTGCAACAATTTAGCTCCTTTTATCAATATCTACATACATAAAATATAAAGCAGTAATAATGGAACCACTGTGAACAGAATGCTAGTGGAAACATAATGAATTATAAGTAGATAATATCATGGATAATACATGGAGTAATAATAATAGTCTCTGTTGATACTTTGCAGTTCAGTTACTAATTTTAAAAGGTTTATAAATTCTTTCCTGACATCTGACTCTCTGTTCACACAAAATCCTAACTAAATATGGTGGTATGGTAGAATTTTTGTACGACCATAAATTCCTATAAAGCTTCTTCTGGTTTTACCCGAAGATATACAAGGAGAAAGTGGGGGAATAAAGAGGATGTTCACTATCAGATAAGATAACTTTAGCCAACTGCTTGCAAGAATTGAAGTGCCTATTCACAATAATTTCAGTTAGTTGAGTCAAAGGTATGCCATTAGCTCTACCTACAGCATTCAGTGTTCTACGTAATATGGCATAGTCGTTTTTGAGAAGTCCAGGGGAAGAATAAGGGCGGGCAGTCAAGAAGACTGGGTAGAATACATGAATTAAAAATAAACTGTAAGAGAAGAGGTGATGTTGAGTTGTGCTAGCAGCAGGAAGTCTTAACTTCTTTATGCAGTAGTAAGTCAAACGAAAGATATTTGTCTTATAAAATCAACAGGATATGAGACGACCAACAGAGATTCGAAGAGAAACTGATTTACTTCCTATCACAGTTCTGTAGAAATTTCTTCTGAACACACAAGTTTGACTTCTTCAGGCGAATTCCTATTGTTTCAGTTGTATATAGAAGACGAACTCGTAAAGCAAAATTAAGAATAGAAGGGATGCGATAAATAATTTTAAATGTAGTATTAACGTCAACCTTATTTATGCTCACTATCCACAAGGTGGGTTAAAATAGGGCTAAGAATAGATTTTGTTTGTCCCTTGCTCAACTATGTTGGATGATTTTAGGAAATACGATGATGGACCTGCCTAATTGTACACCCGATGTAGCCGGCTCCGTAGTTGCAGTTAAACTTGTGGATACACATAGAAGAGGCGAATTTAGTAGTTTATCCTTATTACTCGAACGTAGAATAGGGGTGTAGTTGTGAAGAGACAACGTACCTCTGCTACATAATAAGCTCATTCCTAGACGTCTGATTCCTAGACGTCTTCATGGCAAGGAAAGAAGATGGCACACTAAGAAGGAGTGTGTACAGGAAACCTACTACAACAGGTCAATACATTCATTTTTTGAGTTTTGTACTTTGGAATATAAACGTAACCTGGTAAAGTGTCTGGTTCATAGAGCTAGGTTAATCTGTTCGGACGACTGCTTCAATGAGGAGCTTACGATTATTAGAGAATTACTTAGAAAAAATGATTATCCAGATAAGTTCATTAAGAAAAATATGAATTCATCACCTAGGACACTCACTATGGCCACAGTTCCGAAAAAACTACTGTTCATAAAACTGCAGTTCCTCGGTGAAAACATCAGCGAAATAACAACACAACGACTGAAGAATGCAGTTAAAAGAATTTATTATGCAGTAGAGGTACGTTGTCTCTTCACAACCACACCCCATTCTATGTTCGAATAATAAGGATAAACTACTTAAATTCGCCTCTTCTATGTGTATCTACCAGTTTGACTGCATCTGCGGAGCCAGCTACATCGGGCGTACAATTAGGCAGCTTCATCATCTTATTTCTGAACATCATCCACCACATAGTTAAGCAAGGGATAAACAAGATCTATTCGTAGCTCTGTTTTAGCCCACCTTGTAGATAGTGAGCATTCCTACTAATCTTAATTTTGCTTCACGAGTTCATCTTCTACATATCACAGGAATCATGGAACTGAATCAGTCAGTCTAAGGAAGTCTTGTTCGTATCCGAAACTAAAATCGACAAAATATATAACATTTAGATGCATCTAGTTTAAGATCATTTAGGTGAGACGACTTGTTAACTTCAGCAGATAAGAATATCTATCCATCATATAAGAACTTCATTTCTCTGTATAAGTAGAACGTCCATGTTAATTTCATCCATTCTTTACTTAGACAACGCATGACAGAAAGTTGATGATAAAATAGATCTTGCCGCTTCATTCCATTGAAATATATTTACACCTCTCTGCAGAGACACACACTGATGCGTGAGCACACACATATATATAGAGAGAGATTGTCAAAATTGTGAACACATATATCATAGATATGCAATACAAACGTATAACCATTACATTTTTTAAATATAAATATGAGTACATATATGTATAACTGATGTAAACTTACTTTGAAAGTTATTTCCGATTTCGCCACGTGATGAATGATAATACTCCACTTATTGTTAAAGTTGTTTAAAAATTATTATTATTCTACCTCTTCTATATCACAGTGTAGGCACCGTTGTTGTTTCAAGGAGGAAGGAGAAAGCTGGCAAAAAAGAAAGAAGGGAAAAAGATTAGATTGTAATGGCAGGCGCGTTGAAGCGGAAATCGTCAAGGAACTGTTATAATTGTGTGCATATGTATATGTATATAGATATATTAACAAATACAATTTATTATATGTAGTAATATCCTAAAAGCAATCAAAGTGAACATAATCACATTCTACGCATCTATTACTACAACTACTGTATATGTGTTGTCAACTTGTTGTTATGGTGTACAATATATCCGGAGTGATAAATTCAAACACGCACCCACAAGCACACACGCACACGGAAATAGTAGTCGTAGTGGTCATAGTGGTTGTATGAATAGTAGTAATCAGATGTAATCTTGTTTATTTCAATTTTGGTGACCGGATGTAGATCGTTACAGTGTAGTAACTAACTAATCAAATCGGGCGGAACGAATCACAGTTGTGTGTATTCATGTAGTCAGTTAGTTAGTTAGTTAGTTAGTTAATTAGTTGTATTCTATTGGAAATCCGGATCTTTGAGGTAATTTGAAGATGTAGAAAGAAAATGAGAGGTGTTGTACTACTATTTCTATTAGTAGTACTTCCTTTACACCAAATTGTACACCTTTCTTTTTCTTTTTGATTTACTTCAGATGATGTTATTGTCGTCGTCCATTTTTTTTGTACTCCTTCTTTTTGATGAAAACTAGAACGGAACAGGAATCCAAGTCTAGACGGTGCTTCAGTGAACATTGAAGACAGAGAGATAGAGAGATGGATATGCAGAGAAGTTGAACACAAATTTCCTTCCGTTAGTGTTAACATTAATTTTGAAAGAATGAGAGAAAAAAAAAGAGTTTCCTTTATTCGCTCAATACACACACATAGTAGCAATATAGTAGTAGTAGTATTACTATTACAATATTAATATTTATTATTATGATTATCATAGAGAGTGCTTTTACCTTCAGGAAGATCAAGAATCTGTTCTGTATGCGCAAAATCTATCAACTTCCTTCCGTCCAACAAAGACAGTGATTTTCTAATAATATTATTATTATTATTTAAAAATTGAATGAGTTTAGTGATTATAGAAGTGGAACATTCAGTTTCCGCCCCAAAAATAACACACTAACCTATCTATCTAAGTGCGATTGGATAAAATGCATGACTACTCACAAATTTCTCTATCCATTTGAAGAGACGATATCTGTCTGTCTGTTTATGTGTGTACGTTTCCTTTGAGGTGGAAACATTGCTACCCACTCACCCATACACACACACACAGGCGCAAACACAAATACACACATAAGTATACATTAACACTTTGATACATCAAAAAAAAACACGGACAAGACGTCAAAGAGACACAGTTTCCCTTTGAAAAGATAAGATAATCTTGTTTCGTGAAAAGGCAAAAATTTCATTCCATCTAATGTAATATACCTAAATGGAAAACTCACAAGCGGAACAGAATACACCCCCTTTGTTGTGTCATTGTTTAATTTAGTTCAGAAAGCATTCAACGCCTTCAACTGCTTATTGGTTAATTTGTGTTATGACTTCCGTTCCCTTGTTCTTTCTCATATATATATGTATATGTACTCACCGCTGGCCAATCAATTGCATATTTGATTACTGCTTACTGTCATCCCATTCTACGCTAGAGACATACAATCTTAAATATCCTACTGTTCTGGTTCAGTGAGTTATGAATTTGAAGGGTAGAAGTTTTGAGTGGTCTTCCAACTCACTAGGATGAGTAGACCAATAAAAGAAAGGGAGAGGAAATTATTTAAAAAAAAGAAATTCAAGTATGCTTCTATTCTTCAGTAACCTAAATTTCAAACACCCCTCACCACCCTTATCAATTTGTAGTGATTGTTGTAGACCATATCAAATTTTTGAGTATGTAATGCAATTGAAAGTAAGGCAATCAATGAGCAAGTTTATTGATTTCTATCCTTTGTATATGCAGGTTACATATAAAAGTATAGAGAGTTTTGCCGGGGTGGAGGTCCTACAATCAGTCATTCAACTATAGGCTGTAATGCTGACTTCTATTCAATAGACAATAGATTCAATGTTCAACATACAGAGTCGCGTAATAATTACAAAAATATCTAACTAACTAACTAACTAACTAACTTTGAAGGTAGAAGCTTTTTTGCACAGCAAAAATTGTGAATAATTATACACTATTATTACTAGTAGTATTTATTATTAATAATTTCGTTTTGTTTTTCTCTTTAGTTAAGTTAATTGATAATTTGAAATATTTTCAGACAATTAGGATTTCGTTGATCAGTTAAAACAAGAAACCTGTTCAACGTATATTGAACATGAACAGATTATATATTGGTTACTAAAACTACTATTATTATTTTGCAGAATTTTATATCGTTCATGCAATGATATCATATTCAAAAGAGAATTTTTTTGAAAATGAGATCAGCACGCGGATCTGATCTAGGATGAATAGAGAATACAAGTAAGTGTATGCATGATAATTCATCATAAAACCGTTTATTGTGATCCATATCTTTTTTTTGTTGTTTTATACTCTGTTAATCAATTTATATGGAATAATGATGGTATTTGGTTGATGCTGATTAACAGCAGAATCCAGCATTTCGTCCTAATTTGGACTCGTCATCTGGATGTGCTTGAAATCCCCAGTAAGTGATGGCGTACCCTTTGACATCGTGGATTCAACTGCTAGTCACTATCCATCAAACACCGTCAGTGTTATTCCTCAGTGGTTGTTAGAACGTTCGTACTAGGAGACGAAATGTCAGCAAAGGTCGACCATTTCGGTAGAATTCATCAATGGGGAAAATGAAGAGATTAACCTAGGCAAAATATGTGGAATAATGTAATGACACTTATATTTTGACATCAGAGGCATAGATGCGATAAGTAGACAGGTTTGTTTTTCTCTTGGTTCCATCGCTCGTTAGACTAGTCATTTCGGTGAATCTGTTATCTTTGGAAAGTGGGGTATGTTTACGAAATGGCAGAAGTCAGTGGATTTCTTCGCGTTATACTGGTCAGGAATGCATCAATCAAACTAATTATTGTCCAACAGTTGTTAGTGGTATTGTTGGGAGAGTATTTATATCCTGGTTGATATTTCCCCATTATTCGGAAGGATTACATATTATTGAATAGATGTTCTTTCTACATAGGGTAGCATTTTAAGTGGTATTTAGGTGTAGCGTATCACTTTAGTGGAAACAATTCAGTAGATAAGGTTGTGAATTCTGATACATTTAGACACATGGAACGCATACTGCTTCAGCATTGTCATTGACAAGCAGTGTGAGCTAGATTAGGATTAGAGTTAGTGATGATCAGATTCACTTCATGGCACATTTCATGCAAATATTGTTTTATAGGAAGGCTATCTAAGATAGTTGTTATTAGATATTCGGAGGCAATTGTCAGGAAGCCTTGCTTGACCTAGTTTTTGTGCTAGTTGGCACTCATCAGCAAGGCGTATCTGCAACCTTGAAGGAATTCATGTCCCTTTTGAGATTCGAACTCGCGTCAATTAGTGAGTGCTGCAGTCAGACGCGTTACGACTGAGTTATTCGGGCTCGCAATTGACCTCATGTAGGACTGTATTAGGTGCTTTGATTGGACACTGGTTATTTACTAGTGCAATGGATCTACTCTTTTATTTGCTGCAGACTGAATTCTATCAGTCTGGTAACGTCTCTGTCTTCAGCAATAGGTGACATGGGTTCAAACCTCAGAAGAGAAATTAGTTCCTTCAATATTGTAGGCACGCCTTGTTGACTGATAAGTGACAACAAGCAGGAAACCAGGGCACAGCAAAAGCTTCTTGCTGAATCTCTCCAACAGTGTTGTGGCAAGCCACCTAGTGGTGTGATAGTAGCTAAATTGCAAACATAATTGATGAAATTCAGTCTGTAGCTAACAAAAGGCTAGACGCATCACACTAGTTAGTGTCTACTCAAAGTATCTGAGTTAGCATTACATTGACAGACTGATATTGATGTAGTGGGTGATGAACGTAGGTCAAACGAAAGACTGGGTAGTGACAGTGTTCAAAGCAGTGTCCTCTGAACTGTTAGTCTCGTGAACTACCATCTAATCTACAAGGCCCAATCACTAATTAGGCCGTCATTTCACTGCAGTCATCACAGGTTATGGCCAGACGTCACTTGAATGAATGTTAACCTAATGTCAGTATATCACTACATCAATTATCTAACTAGGTCTTCCCTTGTCAGTCCTAATTAAACTGTGTTAAAAGGCGTGAAGCAGGTTGTCAGTTGACAGTGGGACTGATTGTCTAAGATACTCTTGGGTCAGCAAACTACTACTGACTTGATGGATAATGATTTGGGTTAAAATGAAAATCTTAGTTTCTACATCTCGTGTTCGAGAGCCTGACTAGCAGTCTGGATGTCTATTGACTTAAGAATTTCTCCAATTGCCAGGTAGTCACGACATGTTCCACACATTCTAAATAACTATGATTAGGATTGACAGGAGCGAACCTAGCTCGATGTGGCGAGTGTAATGATTAACGGACAATTTCCTTCCACTCAAGAAAATAACATCTGGGTAATACTCATGTCAGGTGAATTTGTTATATATTGACTTGAAATATGTATGGAGATGTAGGCTGTCTGGTTAAGTTCCTCTTGATACTAGAAACCAACACCTGGAGACTTAGTGACGTCGTTATATATATAACACTTTCTTCAAGTTTATCGGATGTCTTTACTGATCTTACAAGGAGTCATTGTATCTATCATACCCATGTTCAGGTGCTTTAGTATCATGGCATGCTTATTGATTTTCTTTATATCTGCCACTTTAGAGGTATAGCGAACTAAAATGATGCATTTGTCTGCGCAAAGGCTTGTACTGATTTGTCAACCTGTCTGTCTTTTTTTAAAAAAAACAGTTATTGTCTAACAGTATGGAGATACTGATTTGTCCAACGATTACACACAAAATTGTTACCAGTCAAACTACGGGATCTATCCACTCAGATATTAGCGGTAAATTACTCACCTGCTACATTTAAATTGTGTTAGTGTAGCCGTAGTAGGCAAGAAACTTAGTAACGAAATTTTAATTTATAGTTTGATCTACAAATATAGGGAAATTATGTATACCTTATATGAAAACGGCCATTTGCACAGATTTTCCATACTGTGCTAATTCTGCACTTCGTGTTGTGTTTGTCTTCTTTTCGTGTCCCCCCATATTTTGCCACATTACTGGTTCAACTCCTCTATCTCTCTCTGACGTCAGATCTATCTCACCACTATTTGATATTTTTATGTACCGAAAAACGTCTCTATATATACTACTGATAAATCTTGTCAGTAATACATGCCACATTATGACTCAAACATCTTTCAAGGTTATTTATAATGTTTGTGTCTAAACAGACAAACAAATAAAGAAAGCAACTTGTTTACTGGATAACAGCGGCTCGTTTCATTTCATGGATTCTTGCCAACTGCGTACAACCTAAAGAATGTCACAGTATAAGTCAAAAAAGGTCCTAAAATACTTTTACCTGTCACTCGATTTCATTGTGATAAAAGTACCTTCATACCTTTTGTAACTTATATTTTGGCATTTATTATTATTCCGTTTGAATGGAACGTAGGGCTTCAACAACACGTTTCCACGTCGTTCTGTTTTCTGCTGTCTTCTTCTTCTTCACCATTACCTATAATCTCTAATCTCCTCCTCTTCGCTACACAATCTCCTCCATGTCACCCTCGCACTGATGACCCACTCGTCGGTTCCCA